AACTGGATTCTATGGCCATTCTGAGCTCCCAGAAGGGCTGAGAAAAGTGAAGCTGTCATTCTCAATCTCTCCTGGAATCGGGTGCTTCCAATAGACAAGAAGGATGAGCAAAATGTTTGTTAGGTGGGCTGTCAGAATAAACACTACTTGAGAGCATTCTAAACACTTAACATACATTAATCCATTAGATCCTCACAGCAAGTCCCTGGGGTTGGTAGGTGTGATTATTATAATATTACTTTACACAGAACCAAACTGAACTTCAGCGATAATAACATAGTGAGTCAGTGAAGGAGCCAGGATGCCAGCTCCATCGCCAGACTCCAGAGGCCGCACGGCTAACTGCATGTTACACTGCTCTCAGCCTGCAGTGACCGCCTGGGCAGGCAGTCTGCCAGGCTGCTTCCAAAAGTCTAACACATAAAAGGTCTGAGCCATGCTTATCTCCTTCTGAAGTGCAAATGTGACCTTTTCCCCTGGCTGCAGTCACGGTGTGGGTGAGAAGAGAAGAGAGGCATCCAAGAGTGACAAGAATTGCTTTTCATCATCATCAAGACTGCATCAACAGCCAGGGCCATGGTCGGGGCCAGGGCTGGGACCAGAAGAGTACGACTCATGGCCAAGGGCCAGTGATAAACAGTCAGCAGCCCACTGCGCCATCACAGGTGTCAGGACATCTGGGCAAGTCAGAGGTGAGTGACGGAGAGTCCAGTTACAAGCAGGCAGGGCTGGAGGAGGATAGAGTGTCCAAGTTAGAGGAATGTTTTAGAGGCCACTCCACTCTTTCTCTCATTTTCAAACGAGTGAAATGAGGCCCAAACAGAATGGAGTAATGTGTTCCAGATCACCCAACTTGTCTATGTAGAATGTGAGGCACAAAATGAGTGCTTTTTTTCCAGGTGAAACAGAAAGAACCTGGGGTCAGGTCCTCAAGGAAGCCTTCTTTGTCTGACCCTTGTAGAAAGCATCCGTAGTGCTTCATACAGCCTTCTGTTAACACTTTCTGTTATAATATCAAATTTATTCACTTATGTCTGGGTCTCCCTGATTACCTTGGGAGGTTCTCAAAAGCCCGACTACACTCAGCTCTGGACAAGAATCTTGACAGCTCCACTTGCATGGCCCCTTTGATTATCATTTCCTCCTTGATAAAATGGAAAAAGCAATAGTTCCAACCTCACAGTGTTGCTGGGATGATCGAGTTTTAAACGCACATGGCGCTGTGTGCCAGGCAGATTCAGCGGTTGGTAAGTAGCAGTTATTGGCCATTTCATATCTCCCTGGTGCCTCCTCTCAAGTTTAGTAAATCAATTTATCAACCAGCAGAAGAGTCAACATCACAACAGAGAGCAGGTGGCAGAACGTTAGACATAAAGACATGATGAAGAAAGAAGCAGGCACAGGAAAGGTCTGAGTCCAAAAGGGCAGTGAGATCACATAGAACTGAAGATGTAAAAGAAACACACAGAATGTCGAAGAGCTTCACCACGAACTCTGTCTCCCAAACCTGCTTCGAGGAGCTTGGGCTCCTCAAGATTTCAGTAAGACGGGTACCATTTTGACTAGCTTCTTTAGACACATCTAAAGAGATTGAAGCAATTTGCTTCAGGTTATAAAGCTGGCTAAATGTGAAGGACAGATGACCTCAAAACCATGTTCTACGTGCATACGAATCATCATGGGATTAAATAAGCTAATACATGTGGCATTCTTGGCCCAACACGGGGCACAGGAGAGGTGGCTCATGTCATTGCTGGTTTATCGTTACATTCCAAGGGTCCGCCCCCTTCACTGGTCCCAGAAGAGAAGGATGGCGGCACTGTGGTTCTTAAGGAGGAAGTGGAGCCTTGTAAACCCCAGCATTTATTGGAGGCAGGACCCAGAAGCACTGATGGTGCATGGCTCCCTTGGTCCAGGTGAAACAAGAGGCTGCCAGACCCAGAGGTAGGCAGAGTGGCATAGCTTCAACCCAAAACCTCCCCATATTTCTAATCCTTCCATAACCCTCATTAATAATACAGCCAAAGAGGCAGGAGAGGCAGCGGCAGTGATGGCAGCAGCAAAAATGAAAGAGAGGAAACAGCTGGCACGGGAGGGCCTTGTGCCAGACTCACGGCCGGGAGGGACTCCGGCAGTGATGACAGTGGTAAATAAACAGAGTTGATGGCTGGAGTGGGGCCCCGTACCCTGCCTGGGAAGGGACCAGGGGAGATGGGATTCTTGTGCATCCCATCCCACTGGTGTAGGCTCAGCCATCACGGGTTTACCCACATCAGACTGTGATCCATCCCCTGGCTGGGCGCTCCAGAATCACGTGTTACAGCAGTAGTCTGGCAAGCCAAACAAGACGTGGATTCATCCAGGCCACCTGTAAAGGGATGTAAAGCCTAACAACCTGTGCAAAGCTCCTAACTGTCATAATTAATTTGGCACCTCTTCAGTGGTAGATGCTAACCAAGCACCATAGAGTGAAAGCCCATTCCCTGACAACATGGTTAGGCCCCCCATAATTAAAGCTGTGAGAAATCGTCATTTGAAAAACCTCAATGCCATATTTTCCTCGCTAAACTGTTTTTGTCATTTTCTTTTCTTTGGTCCTCTCTATCCGCTACTGAGGTGAACATCTTACTTTCTTCGACTTATCCAGTTACTGCTTTCCTGTTGCATAATTTAGGTTATAATTATTTTCTCATTTTCCCCTCCAGCTGGCAGTAGTTTGGTCCCTTCCACCTCGTATTTCTTTAAAATGTCACACTGTTGCTCTAGCTTATTTAAACACTCTGGAAAGTGAAGAAGTGAAGCCATTGGAAGTGCATCCCCACATCCCTTAGAAGTGAGTCCCTGTTGTCTTTCCGTGTGCAGCAGACAGGACCAGGATCCAGCAAGCTAAAAAAAACAGCTGATTGCAGTCGCCAAACAAACAAACAAACAAACAAAAAACCACAGTCTGGCTTCCACTTAAAAAAAAAAAGAAAAAAGATGAGGGATATGGTATGAGAGCAGGATTCACTTTATGAGGGGAAACAAAGCAAAAACATTTAATAGCAATAGTGTCCCAAGTATCAAGTTCTCACTGTATCTCTCTATCGACAGCTGATATCACAGGCCACCTCCACCGATGAGGGCTTCCAAACAAAGACTTTCTTATTCTGTTTCTCCATTTGTCACTCCTAAAAGATACAGTGATCCAAAGTTTATCGCTGAAAGATAGGACAAAAAACTGGTGACAAAAACTTTATGATAAATGGTGGACTTTTTTTCTGTCTGAAAAAAGGGGAAAACAATGCATCCATTTTCAGAAGTTCTCTTTTTGTTTCTTTCTTTTGATTCCCAAGAGAGCACATTTTTAGTAGACTTGAATTAGTCACATGAATGCTAAACAATGTCAGCTACTCTGTATTCTGTAAGGAATTGAGCTTATAAAATGAATCATCTTGAGTATTTGCTAAACACAAAATCGCAAGAATTTGTAAATAATAAATTGTAAAATGTACTTTAGAATGACTGCTCCAACATTTGAGTAGACTCTTTTTCGAAGAACAGATCACAGGAATTCCACTGCCTCTTTCCTCAGAATTTCTATAACTTTGAGGAAGAGACGTATAGGAAATCTCTTTTACAAGTATAAGTTAAGAAACCAGTCTGTATGTTTATAAGCCAAGGGCTTATATGCAGAACTTCTCAAGAAATCCAGGGGTTAGATATCAGGATATCGCTGACAGCTCACTGACAATGTCCCGTAAGTTGAACACAGTAATACCTCAGTTGTACAGAGGGAAGAAATTAAGTACCAAAGAGCTGAAATAATTCACTTAGAGTAATCAAAAAAAGTTAAGGACAAACTAAACTTGGTTCAGATAATCCTCAAACCCTCACACACATAAAACAACTTGTATTTAAGAGAAAGACCATGTCCATTCTGTTCTCCTTTGTCTTCCAGAACTAATTTTTATTGTTAATTAAATATGCAAATGACTTACATTTTATAAATTAATATTTATTTTTACAGACAATGACCATTATGAGTATCGCTGAGATCTGCAACTATTTTTTTATGAACTTTATTTTTTACATTAAGAAGGAACCACTTTTAAGGTAGAGGTAGATATTCTAATTCAACATAAACCATTTTAACTCCTAAAAGCGTAACAAAGGAATTGTGTTAGTTGGGAACCATTTGCGTACAAGTCATAAAACTCCAACTCAATTGACTTAGGCAAAAGGAGATGGTATTAGGAGGCTATCAGAGGATTTTCATGTACCCAAATGACAGCAAGGGCTGGGGATTTAAGCAGCTGCACCCCTGAGACAAGGAAGAGCAGCTCTCTCCCTCCCCTTTTGGGCTCTCAGTGGTGCTGTTTTGACCTCCTATATTAGAGATTCCATTCTCTCACGTGGTGGCCACCAGCAGCTTCCAATCCCCTCTGTTCCACAGCTTCTCCCATCAGCTTCTAATATTCATCTGCTCCCTTAGTTCAAGTTCAAAAACTCCTGAGGACAAGTTGATCAAACTGCCTGGATCTGCGTGACTATATCCAATGAGGTGAGACACCCTTAATGGTAGACTCTACCTGAAGGGTATGGTTGGAATCTAGGCAGGAGTAATTCTCCAAAAAGGGGACAGGACGGGAAGGAAAGCCTACTGAACAGCTAACTGGGCAGACAAACCAAGAATAATCAAGTAGAAGAAAAGCAAACACAGATTCTGAAAGTTCAGATAACATCAGAAAGTTAAGATGGCACAGGATAGAATGCTGGAAATTGGCATTAAGGCATTCTTCAGTACATTCTTTTGACTTCTATTTCCCAGCCAAAACAATGAATACATAACTTTAAAACCTGACAACATACCATTTTCTCTCCCCTCTTGTAGATGTTTTCTGTCACTTCCCCATGGCATCAAAGCGTTTGGCCTAAAAATTGCCCCTAAAGTCTTACACAAAGCATCCATAATGTTACTGTCAGAATTGTTTCAGAGCTGTCTGTGTTATTTTTAGGGTTCAGATCGTCTTCTGTGCGTTTCCTCATTCCATATTCACGACATTATCTTCCGAGCTTTGCAATTCTGATGCAATTTCCAGTTCATACTTTTTCAATTGCTGCATTTTCATGTTTAAATCCAGCAAAGTTCTGGCCAGCTGGCAATTCTGGAAATGCATTTCCAGCTAAAAGTTAGAAAAAAATAAGGATTTTTATTAGCCTGAGATATGGAGCAAATGAAACTGCTCTCTGCACAGGAAAAATAAGGACTTTGTAGGAAAGGAAAATAAGATATCAAGAAAGGTGTATTTCTCATCTTATTCTCCAGTTCTGACTGTTTGGCCTGACTATAAAACTGACTTTCTGTACGACAAGGTAAAATCCAGATATACAAATAGCTTTTGAAATGGCCTTGCAATGAAAACTAAAAAAGCTCATGCACAGAGCCATCCATTTGAAAAATTCCTGTGCATAGAAGGCTGTTTCCAAGCAATGGCATGTGATCTGCGAGGAAATCATTTATCTTTATGAGCTTTCTGAGCTCCAGGATAACTGTTCAGGGCCACCTGAACTTTCAGGACCTGGGCCCATTTACTTGATTACTTGTCATTTCAAGTTTTTAGGATTTTAAATGGTCTCCCTGTTGAGCAAAACATTTAACGACCCCTTTATGTGTACTTATAGAATCTAACAATTTTCACTGTAGAGTGAAATCTGTTATATAGCAAGGCTGATTTATACCCTCCCTCCAGTGGGAGTTTGTGAAGGTCTTCGTGTATTAAGAAATAGATCGATCTCTCGGGCAATGTACCTAAGAGGCAGTCTGACAAAGCTTGGTCCAACATAATCTTTGCATTATAGTTGAAAACTAGTAATCAACTATTTGCATATTTCTTCAATTAGGGTCTTGTTTAATGCAGTTCATGAGAACCTGTTCTCTCTGCTGAAAACCCCTCATCAACTCACCAAAAGAAACCACCCCAGGGTGAACCAGGACATTCCGCTGGTAAAAAGCAAATATGGGCGGTCCCCTCCTAATTTGCAAAATAAAGTCACTGGATAAAATTTCTTTCAGTTTTCCTCTGACATATTTTTCTTCATTCTTCAGCACCTGGAACCATTTCTTTGATAGCAAGAATTTGCAAAGAATAAAGAAAATGAACATCCAGCAAACAGACAGTAACAACACAACCACTAGCACAAGAAGCCCTGGCACCTTGCCTACAGGAAGCTTCTGTTCTCCAGTGTGGAACGGACACCCTATAAACCTGCCCTACTCTTCCAGCTTTATTTCCTGGCCCTCTTCCCACACCAGCTCCCACTGCAGCTGCTCAGAAACTTTGCCTGTCCCAGAATAAACACATCGTACTGAGCCACATCTTCTGCCCGCTCTGCCCCTTGCCACCCACTTCCTGTTGAGCTCTTCTTAGAAGCCTTCTCTGTCTCGCCTTATCTGTGTTTCCACAGCGTTCTGTACATGTGCCTCTCCTAGCACACAGCCTACACTAGACTGATGATTTTGAGCACAGTTTGTTCCTATTCATAACTGTATCCCCAGCTAGGGGTGCACTGCCTGCTCACGCAACATGGTGGGTTCTCTGTGTGTTTGTTAAAAGACTGAGTGAAGGAATGACTAAATGGAGAAACTGATGAACACCCGTCCTCTACTTTCATGCCAAGAATCAAGCAGTTAAATTATTGATAATGGCTCACCATCTAAGCAAAACAAAGTATGTGTAACTCACACCTGTTTAGGAAAGTCAAACACCAATGATTCCTTAATTTTCTTTCCTCATGGATCCCACTGAGAATCTAATGAAAGCTAGGAAAGAAGCGCATTTTATGTGCATACAAAATTTGGCATACAATTTTAGGTATATAGAACCCCTGGAATTCACTCACAGGCCCTGGAATTCAATGCAAGCCACTAAGACGACCAATTCAAACAACAAATAATAGCATAAATAACATTTCATAAATAGCAACATGTCTCTAAATTAACTGAACCTGTTCATCATTGTTCCTTACACAAATACCACCCTAACAGATGATGTGTGGACATACATGTATGGATGGGTGCCAGTTCCTACAGAAAACTGGCTAATGGCCCATTATCAAAAACGGCTTCTTCTAGTGGTGATGGTGTTGAGGATCCACATTCTTTTCCGTCTTCATGACTGGTCACACACAATGGTGAAATGGTTGGCCAAGATGTTGACCATGATCTATAATCTCAGGAACACAGCATCTGTGTATGTGTGACATTCCTTGCGTCCTTTCCAGAAAAACCCTTGATCTTCCATGCCTATGTATCTGTCACTTTGGGGGCACAACCAAAACACAGTAAGAGCAACTGAGTAGTGTCTATGTTCTATGCACTTTATATAACATTATCTCATACAATACTTACAGTGATCCTATGAGTTTATTATTTCCATTTTACAGCTGAAACCCAAACTTGCTAATTAGCATTCCTAAAGTAATAGGAACAGTGAGAGCAGAGCCTGTAAATGTTAATGCTGGGATTTGAACCCTCATCTATTTGGAATTTTATTCTCCATCTCTTCCCTACCCCTGGTGCATTACTTGCTTAAAACTCCTACTAGTGTAACGACTAGTTAGAATGTGAAGGTTCAAGTGCCTCGGAGCTTACTGAATATAATTTCTTCACTTGATTTAAATGAGTCAGCTGAGGGCTTCCCTGGTGGTGCAGTGATTGGGAGTCCGCCTGCTGATGCATGGGAAACGGGTTCGTGCCCCGGTCCAGGGGGATCCCACGTGCCACGGAGCGGCTGGGCCCATGAGCCATGGCCACTGAGCCTGCGCGTCCGGAGCCTGTGCTCCACAACGGGAGAGGCCACAACAGTGAGAGGCCCACGTACCGCAAAAAAAAAAAAAAAAGTCAGCTGAGGTACGGGAGGGATGGTGACACCCCAGGTCAGCAGCACAGGGTGACTAAGCCCTGTCTCAGCCTTCCAGTGGGCATCCTCATCCATAGCACACCCCTCCAGGCCATCTCTACTAATGAGGGGTCTCGCCCAGCCACTGCTCAGGTATCTGATGAAAACCGTGTGTTTCTCCGATATGGCTGGGTCAGAATTAATACATACCTTGTCGAATTCAAATTGTTAACACAGGTAAAATTAAATTGACTACCTTCTTGCCCTTCTTAAACTCAGAAACAAGATAAACTGTTAAGGTTCTTAAATCAGACAACTGACTGATGGTTGAATCCCTTCTAATGTAGTGGTTAACATCTCATTAGTATTCAATGCAAAAGACTAGAACTTTCCAAATCTCCACTACACATATTCATAGGCAGCACCGTTTTAAAGCTTAAATTGCTCTTATTCATTTTGTCCATTTCAAATTGTACCTAACTTGGAAATTGTTTAAATCACAAAACAGTAACTAAAATATTTACCTACAGTTCCTCCTGCCTAACGTTAAAAAGCTACAATTTTACAAAATACCTTATTATCATTTCCTGTTTTCTGAATTCTTACCCAGGGGAAAGATAAGACTTGCAGAATAAAAAGAAACAGTTATTGATGGACTCGCTCCATCCATCCCGTGAGTTCATTTCATTGAAACTTCCGCCTCCGAGCCCCATAACATACGCGTACTATGAGTTCCCTAGAGGGAACTTTCTATGTGGTAGAAAAATAATAGAACAAGTTGGGGAGGGGTGGTGACGGAGGTCTCGGGTGTGTCACTAGTAGACTCAGCCCTCGACAGCCAGCCAGCACCTACCGCTTCCCTCCTGGATGCTGCCTGGGAGGCAGGAGCATCGGTACGGTCGTGGAAGATCGACGGCCGGTGCCCAGCTCGCCCACGCGGCACGGCCTCACCCTCTCCCTGGGAAAAGCGGCGCTCGGCCTCCCAAGCCCTCGGTGGGGCGCGTGCGCGGCCCGCGGCCGGGGGCCCCGGGAGAGGCGGCCCCGAGAGCCGGCCGCCAGCGCGCTCACCAGCTCGGCGCGCAGCCCGGCCAGGGCGCTCTCGACGCGCGTCCGGCTCTGCTCCTCCCGCGCCGCCTGCGCCGCCTGCGCCGCCTCCTCCTCCTCCCGCGAGCGCCTCGAGACGCCGCGCGGCGCCGCCCGCTGGAAGGCGCTCGCCAGCCGCTGCCGGAGGTCTTCTAGCAGCGGGCTGGCGGCTGGGGCCTCCTCCGGGCCGGCCACGCTCTCGCCGCCTCCGGGAAAGCCTCGTGAGGGAGGCAGGGTTGAGGGCCTGAGGCCGGCGCCAACTAGGATGCCGTGGGGCCCCCGGGAAGATCCCTCTCTGCGGCGGCTGTAGTCCCCCAGGGACATCTCGGAGACGCCGGGTTCCAGGCTTCCAGGCGTGTATTGCTAAGGGTTTGTTTCCGAGTGCGAGATGAGGGCGGGTGAGGTTGGGGGCGGGGTAACTCGTGGAACCGGCGGGACCACTGCCAAGTGGGACGGGGCTATTGCTCCGCCGAGCAGAGGCGCTCCTTTCCCCCAGCCTCATCTCTGTCCTTCCCTCCTTAGCAACAGACGAAGGAAGTGGTTCCCATAACTCCGAGAAGAGGTTTCAACTGGCTCCCTTTTTCTTGCTCCTTGGAATGTCGTTCTAAGGGAAGACTTGGGTCCATCCAGGTAGGTGGAAGTTGAGGTACAGATGGAAAGTTTGAGGCCCTGGTTGCCTCGATTATTAATATTTCAGCCCTGTAAAATAGTTTTCTCTGGCTTTCTACCGACTGAGGCACTGTGACAGGTGTTGTGGATATAAAGTCTGATTAGGCCTCGTACCAATCCCAGGCGTTGCCCACAATCAAGTGGGAGAAGCTTGGCCCTGTTTGAAACTTAGAGAGAATGATCTTTCCACAAGCCCAGCAATGCAGAAGACACTTCGATTCTGAAACTCCGTGTTCTTTTCTATACTTGACACCTTTCTGCCACTTTCACATTGTGAAAGGGTTAAAATGAAAAATAAAAATTCCTCTTACTCCAGAGTGTGTTATTTTCTAATTCCCAATTCAGTGTAATCAGGTGCCAATATTACTTGTATATCCTTTATCAATGAACAGAATCAGCTGCCTCTTTTGGATCTAATCGAGAATTTCTAAAAAGGAATAAACAGTCAAAATTTTTGTGTGATCATAGAATGCAAATACCTACCCCCCCCATCCAGAAAGGGGGCAGAGATGTCCATACAGTAAATCCAGAATTAATCATTCGTTTAATAATGATTTACAAGTCACCTGCAATGTTCCAAGTCCGTGATTGGCATTGAGTGCAGTAAGAGCTAATTGTGTTTACTGTGTGTCAGGCACTTTTCATATATTAACCCATTTTATCTTCACAATAACCCTGTGAGGAAGTTACTATTAGTTTCTGTATTTTACAGGTGAGGAAACTAAGGCAGATGTTAAGCTGTAAAGCAAAGATGACAAAACTGGTAAATGGTGGGCCTGGGATTTGCACCAGGAAGTCTGGCTTGTGCTCTGAACCACTGAGACAGACACACCTTGGATACACACTACCTCCCAAAGAGGAAAAGAAGTTGCTCAGTTGTATGACTGAATGTTCAAATTCCCTGTGCTCATAAAATTCAACTCTACGGAAATGGCTTAAGGCTCAACTGGATAAGGAGCAGTGCAGGTTACCAATTCTGCCAATAATCTGCCAAATTCAATCTTCCACCTTACAATAGTTTACAACCTAAGCACAGTCATATACCTATCATTTATTTGTCATAAAGATTCTCTAGAAACATTTGAAGATGTGTTCTATTGGTGGAAATTATGAAAATCCATATGGTCTACTAGGAACTAACTGAATATAAATTTAAATATTTAAGTTTTTTAAATTTGTGGTTTTTATGCATGTATGTGATAGGTGGTGGGGCTTGAAAACCAGCACCAGTCAATGTGCAGTAGAAATATTTTTTTATATATAAATTTATTTATTTATTTTTGGCTGCATTGGGTCTTTGTTGCTGCGCACAGGCTTCCTCTAGTTGTGGCGAGAGCGGGGGCTACTCTTCGTTGCGGTGCATTGGCTTCTCATTGCGGTGGCTTCTGCTGCGGAGCATGGGCTCTAGGCGCGCGGGCTTCAGTAGTTGTGGCACATGGGCCCAGTAGTTGTGGCTCGCGGGCTCTAGAGCACAGGCTCAGCAGTTGTGGCGCTCGGGCTTAGTTGCTCCACGGCATGTGGGATCTTCCCGGACCAGGGCTCGAACCCATGTCCCCTGCATTGGCAGGCGGATTCTTAACCACTGCACCACCAGGGAAGTCCAGAAATATTTAAAATTAGTTTTCTGCCGTGATTTTTCACTTCTGTTTCCAGATCATTTTCTTCAACAAGAATTTCAGTTAAGTTTGATTTAATTCAACAAACAGTGAACGGTGCATGTTCATTTAAGCACTGTCCCATGTAAGGGAGAAAAAAAGGTGAATAAAGCACAGTTTTTGTCCTCCAGAAGCTTAAAGCCTGAAAGAACAAATTCATTCATTCATTCAGCAGTAGTTATTTAATATCTTATTTATATACCAAGTATTATACAGAGTGCTCAGGCTGTGAAAGTAAACCAGCAAGACAAAATGGTGTTTTAGAATAAATTGGTTTTATCACAAATTAATTATTTTCCATAGATCAATTTTTTCATCTGTGGTGCATCTTGAATTTTACAATTTTTTTTCTTTTATACAAGTAAAATGAATGGAAGCATTGGTGAATCAGAGTGAATATAATACGCAGAGACATTTGTGTTAGGAAATGTATTAGTTATCCATTGCTGCATAACAAATTATCCCCAAATTTAGTGGCTTAAAACAACAATAAACATCATTTCTTACGGTTTCTGTGGACAAGAGTTTGGGAACAGCTTAGATTATCATCTGGGACTTTCATGACATTGTAGTCAAATGTTATCCGAAGCTGGATGTGATTGGAACTGGAGGGTCTGCTTGCAAGGTGGACCATTCACATAGCTGGCAAATTGGTGCTGGTGTTTGGTGGGAAGCCTTAGTTTCTCTCCATGTGGACCCTTCACCAGGACTGCTTGAGTGCCCTCATGATGTAGTGGCCAGCCTACCTCAGAACAAGACAGAGAGAGAGAGAGAGGGAGACAGAGAGACAGAGAGAGAGAGAGAGAGACAGAGAGAGAGACAGCCAGATGGAAGCTCTTTATATGTGTTCTGAACCATATTTTTATGATCTAGTCTTGGAAGTCACACGGCATCACCACATTCTGTTTATTAGAATCAAGTATCTAAGTCTGGACCCCATTTAAGTGGAGGGGAATTAGGCTCCTCCTTTTGAAGTAAGGAGTATCAGAATATTTGCAGACAGATTTTTAATCTGCCACAGGAAAAATATGGTACATACATGTAAACAATGAATCAAATGACTGCTGACTTCCTGTCAGAAAAAAAAAATGAAGGCCAGAGGATATTAGAACAATATTTTTTTAGGTTCAGGAAGAAAAAAATTAACATAGATTTCTATATCCAGCAAAAATATCCTTCAAAGGCAAAATAAACGTGTTATGACATAAGAGAAAATTAGAAGAATTTGTTACCAGCCAACCTATGCTGTTAGAAATACTAAAGGAAACACCTCAGGCTGAAGTAAAATGGTAATAGAGGGAAACTCAAATCTTTAGGAAGGAATGAGGAGTATAGGAAATTGTAAATACCTAGATATATACATATAAATGACTTACAGTCCTCTTAATTTTTTTAAAAAAACATATGACTGTTTAATGAAAAAATTATAACATTGTCTTCTGTGCTTTATAACGAATTTAGATGTATCACTATAATATAGTAACTATAGAATAAGTAATCTTGAGGATGAATGGAGCTATACATTTTATATAAAGTGGCAAGGTATTAACCGTAAGTCCACTGTAAAAGATGAAGGGTATATATATTTTAAAGCCTAGAGCAATCACTAAAAAAAAATGGTGCAAAGAGGTATAGCTAAAAAGCCATTAGAATGAGTGTCTATGTAGAAAATCTGAAACAATTAACAAAAAACACCCTCTGGTACTAATAAACAATTATATCAAAGTTGCAGGGTACAAATTGAATATACAAAAGCTAATCACTTTCCTATATACCAGCAATAAGCAAGTGGAATTTGATTTTTTTTTGGGGGGGGGGGCCACACTGCATGGCTTGTGGGATCTTAGTTCCCCGACCAGGGATTGAACCCAGGCCCTCAGCAGTGAGAGCACAGAGTCCTAACCACTGGACCGCTAGGGAATTCCCTGGAATTTGATATTTAAAACACACATTACCTTTTACATTAGCACCCAAAAAAGAAAAACACTTAGGTATAAATCTAATAAAATATCCAAATGGGGAAAACTACAAAATTCTGCTGAAAGACCTCACAACTTAACTAAGTAAATGGAGAGGTACCCCATGTTCATAGATAGGAAGACTCAGTATTGTCAAGATATCAGTTCTTCCCAACTTGACGTATAGGTTCAATGCAATGCCAATCAAAATTCCAGCAAGTTTTTTGTGGATATAGACAAACAGATTTTAAAGTTTATGTAGAGAGGCAAAATGCCCAGAATAGCCAACATACTGACAGTACCTGACTACAAGGCTTACTATATAAAGCTACAGTAATCAAGGCAATGTGGTATTGGCAAAAGAATGGACATATAGATCAATGGACCATAGCTGAGAGATATACCCACATAACTGATCTTTGACCGACGAGCAAAGGCAACACAATGGAGAAAAGACATACACACAAGTGGTGTTGGAATGACTGGACATCTGTATGCAAAAAAAAAAAAAAAAAAAAAAAAATGAGTCTAAACACAGACACCCTTCACAAAAATTAATTCAAAACGGATCGTAGACCAAAATGCATAACTATAATTCCTGGAAGATAATGTAAGAGAAAATTTACATGACTTTGGGTATGTTGATGACATTTTAGATACAACACCGAAGGCATGATCCATGAAAGAAATACTAACTTGAACTTTATTAAAACAGAAAGCTACTGCTCTGCAAAATACACTGTCAAGTAAATGAGAAGACAAGCCACAGACTAGGAGAAAATATTTGCCAAAGACATATCTAACAAAGGACGGTTATCCAAAATATACAAACTACTCTTAAAACTCAACAATAAGAAAATAACCCAATTAAAATGTGAGCAAATGACCTGGACACCAGACACCATCAACATATATGAAGAACAAATAAGCATATGAAAAGATGCTCAACATCACATGTCAGTAGGGAAATGCAAATTAAAACAATAATGTATCATTACATGTCTATTTGGCCATTCTGTGGCCAAAATTTAAAACACTGACA